TTCGATATGTTTGCCATATTTTAATGCATTTCTGGTAAATCTGCATCTTTAAATTTTAAATCAGAATTTAATTATTATTTTATGATTTTTATTTTTTCGCATTTTAATTCTAATTATTATTGATTTTTATTTCTTCGATCACAAATAATGCGTATTTCATGATTTTTATTTTTTCGCTCAGACATAATACTTATTACTGAGTTTTATTTTTCCGCTTAAAAATAATGATTATTTATAAAATTGAAAACGACGCAACTTACTGAAATCTTGACCTGAAAATTATGGGACTTATTCCTTTTATTAGGGTGTCGCTACCTCTGAAAAGGATTCGATGGAAATCACGCTGGTATAGCTTTTTAAGTGAAAAAGTTAAACTCAATAATAATTATTATCTTTGAGTGAAAAAATAAAAATCATAAAATAATCATTATTTTTGGTCGAAAAAAATAAAAATCAAGTAATAATAATTACATGCAGCGAAAAATTAAACTCAAATATTAATTATTATTTTTAATCTTTATTTGTTAAAATCGAAAATTAAAAATCGTTGTAAATTACAGTAGGATGTACGAACACAAATACGTGAGTATAGTTAAAATTGTTTTACGACGATTACAACTTGTAGATTTTTTTGGTTAAAATTTTAATAGGACGACAGGATTTCTCCTGAAAATTTGCAATTGTGGACTATTTTTAATTGGTCTGACAGGGCCGTATGATGAACATTAAAGTTTTATATTCAACTTTTTTAACAAATTCTTTTGCTTCTGCACAAAAAATAAAAAATAAAATAAAGTGTTTTACTGTTTGACATGTTCTCACGGGTTGATTAAGGAATTAATGTGGCAGTACTAATTTAAAAATTTTAAAAATATATTTTGAAACATTTTTTTCCTTTAGTACCCTCATATATATATATTAGTAGAATTTGAATTAATCTAAGATTCAAACTCATTTAAATTTAAAAATCTTGTAGGATAATATTTTTAAAGAACATATTTGACATGTTCCAAAATGATAATTGAAAAGTTATGATTAATCTTGTTTCGAAATCTCTTTTCAATTGATAGGCATTAAGGTATTCATATTTTGTGTAAAGTTTTGGAAATATTATAATTTATGGTCCTTTGGAAAAAATCTTAACTCCCGCGTAAAAAACCAAAAACGCAGATGTACTCAATATTATGTCCTGATACTGCAGGGAGTATAGCAATACCGTCTTATACAGAAGAAAAATTAGTAAATTAACAAAACAAGCCAACTGCACTAAGTTTATTCTGATAACTTTGACTGCAAATCAGCACGGTTTGCCGTGGTCCGAATTGAATAAAATTTTATTCGGATAGTTTTTAAGACAAAATCAATAAAATGATGCGTTAAAAATAACATCTTTGGTTTTTTGGTGCAGTCTAATATAGATATGTGTGTATATGTACATACATACATACATATATGTCAAATCAACCATTTTTTAATTGGATTAATTTTAATTGAAAAGGTAACAACAGCTATAATTACGTTAAAAATAAAAAATAAAAATAACAATTAAGAGAAAAAAAAAAAGATATGAAAAAAATTCTGCTGGCAGTGGGATTCGAACCCACGACTTCGTAACAACTTTTTGTTAAAATGAAAGAACAGAGCTATCCATATGAAACGTAAAAATTAACTCGGCAATATAAAGATATATGAGTGCTTTAATAAGTTCACCCTGTGTCTGCGGCAGTATTGCCGATTTACCACGCCGCAAAGTCGCGGGTTCGAATCCCACTGCCAGCAAAATTTTTTTTTTCACCCTTTTTTTCTTTTAATTGTTATTTTTATTTTTTTTTATGGAATAATGGTTGTTGTAACCTTTTTAATCAAAATTAAATTTAGTTGAAATTAATTCTCTATGACTACGGGCCCATGTACATATTTAATATTCTTATTTGGCGCTGTAACCGCCTAGGCGATTTTGGCCGAGTTCAACAAAGCACGTCAGTCTTTTCTCTTTTGTTAGGGCTGCCGGATATCTCTGTTGCCAAACCGGGACACTGTGGTAAATCTAACACAACAATTATGACTACTAGGTATGGCCAAGGTGTGTTAAAAAAGGTGGGGTTGACAACTCAGTGAGACTCTCTTTTAAGGTATTATAACGTTAAAAAACAAATCAACGAAAAATTACACTGAAGATGGCACAACGCCGAAACCGGTTTGCCTGCAAATCAATCCTGACAAGGGATGACGGTAATTTGTTCCAAAATAAATCATAAACAAATGACGCACTCTTCTTTGCAAGCGGGAAGGAGTTTATACTTTCTTTCTTTCTTTGGCATTTTTATGTTCTATAAAGTTTGTCGCGAAAACTTACATTGGAAGTAAAGCACGCACGAAAAACAAACAAGCAAAACAAATAAAAAACAGCTGATGCTAATAAGAAAGGGCAGTTTGCACGCTCTAAAAAGTGCATGTATAACTACAACTGAAAAGTGCCTAATTTTCCACCAGAATCTATGTAAATATACGCATAAGATGTTCAAGATTTGATTTTGAACATTTGATGTTTAAAATATATACATAGATGTACATATGAAATGATTAAAATTGCAAAAATTTTGAAAGTAAAAATACATTTTCTACTAATAATAAACATTAAGTGCTGACATTTACTCAATTTTCTACATTTTATGTGTAATTTTGCTCTACGCGATAAATTTGGTATGTAAAAGTAAACAGACAGTGTTTGATTTTGCAGGAGGGGAAACTAGTTAACTCTCTTCATAAGCGTTAATTTAAAACAAAAATCTTTTAAAGCAAATTTTAAACATTTGATGTGTAAACTGTGAAATTGTGAACATTAAGTGTTTAGAATTCAATAAACACACATATTTTAAATTTGCTCTACGCTAAACATATGATAAGCACAAGTAAACAAGCAGTGTTTAATTTAGTTAACACAGTGTGTAAATTTGCACTCATTAAGAGAGGAAACTGGTTACCTATCTTAATATGCGCAAATTTAAACACAATTTTTTTAGAGTGGATATCGATCATCAAATATTGCTTGCGCAAAGTCCAACTATGTGGACATGTAACTATTTCACAAAGGACACCGGTAGTGATTTTTGAACTTATTAAAATTTGGGCATATAAATTGAAAACCGGGACACTTAAACGAACCCCGGGACATTTTAAGGTTGGACCGGGACACCGGGACAAATAGTCTAAAACTGGTCAGCCCTATCTTTTGTGCCAATTGGAAATGCCAAGTGAAGCCAAGTCCTTTTCCACTTGGTCTTTCTATCGCAGTGGTGTCCATTAGAACGACATGGCCCAGCCAGCGGAGCCGCCTCATCGGATGTTGTCATTGTCCATGCTTACCAGCACGGGCATAAAAGTTGTGGCTTACATAGCTTTTGTGCGATACAAGATTGCCTTACAACGTTTAATATTGTTACGAACAAGAATGACTAATAATCCTGCCTTAGCTTTGTTATCTTGATGGTTTGTGTAGTAGACTAAATTTATATTCTACTAACTTACAAATATTTTCTAAACTAATACACTCCTCACCTACGACACCGTCTAGCGCACCGCGTAGATCATGTACCGCTTCCAATTTGCAAGCGCCACCACGTTCCGCATTGAATTCGTGAATGTAGAGGAAACCCTCCTCGCTGGCGATCAACACCTTCAATTGCTTCTGCACGTATGTCAGTCCACAAATGTGACGCATGCCAGGCTGTGCTATGACCGCCGTAGCGAAGGCGCGATCCTGCGCGAGCACATCGCTCACTTGCGTTGGCAAGAGATATGAGGATACAGCCTTCGAAAAGTAATCGGACCAGCCGCTACCCGAGGCGCCCGGCGATGTGGAGACAAGCGATGCATCAGCAGCTGGCGCTACAGCATTTTCAATTTGCGCTTCACTTTTGCCCGGCTGCGTCGACTGCTTTTCCAATTGTTTAGCAGCTGCAGCAGTATTTGACGCTTTCAAAGCGTCAGCTGGAGGAGTAAAATTTAAGTAAAAGTGATTTTAGAAATATGTTCATCCACTAGTTCCTCGATATTACTCACCCTCTAGCGCCGTCATCACAGCTTTTTCATCGATTTTGAATACATGCACGGTCTCTGTATTCGAGGTGACACAGAGAAATTGTCCATTAACCGAAAATACCAGCGATGCTATGCGTACGCAACGTTTCACGCCGCGTCTAAACTCCTGCACGCGCTGACCAGTCTTCACACAGAACACACGTATCACAGTGCCACGCTCCGAGGCGGTCGCCAGCAGTTGGCCGCTAGGTGAGAAATTCAATGCCGACAAACGACTTTCATGCGCCCGAATTGTGATGCCTGACTTCAGTTTGGATGCATTGTAGAGACGCAGCTCACCGCTGGTACTGCAGATGGGAAAGGCTAAGTGCGAGTTTAGCGATAGGGAACACAAGCCCAGCTCGTTGGGTGCAATATTCTCAATGGCATAGAGCATCTTCATGTCGCGTATGTCGTGAATGTGTATGCTCTCCGCTAGACAGGCAATCAAACGCGTACGATTCATGCGTATGCTGAGTATATTCGTAGGGTAGACACAATTGCAGATTTTCTGATTCTTCTTGAAGTGCAACATTTGCAAGCAGTGCGGTTTCTCGGCAGTGACCATCACCACAAGGGAGCTATTGAATAGGCGCTCGATCAAAATGATATGCTCCGAATCTCTGGCGTAGATTTCCTCAACCTTGTCACAACTATTGATGGAGAAAATGCGAAAGCCATCGCTACCATCCAAAACGGAAATCGAACTGTAAGCGAGAGAAAAAACGCTTTAACACACTTGAAATTTCCGTCATAGAAAATTTGTTTAAAATTACACTGTACGGCAAAATTAACCTTTTCTCTGGATTTATATCCTTGTAAAGGTGATTAAACCCCCTTTCTTCCGATATGCATATTTGTATACTTCGTATATAAAAATCTTAGAAAAAACACATTTAAAGGAAAAAATACCTTTTTTTTATAAAAAAAAATATTTTAAATAAAAAAAATTATTTTAAACAAAAAAACAGTTTTTTAAAAAATTAGTATCATTGTAAAGACGATTAAATCCCCTTTCTTCTGATATGCATATTTATATACTTCGTAATAAAAATTTGAGAAAAAACACATTTAAAGGAAAAAATACCCTTTTTTATGTAAAAAAAATTAAAAAAAAAAATTACTAACCGATTTTTAAAAGGTTGGTATCGCAATTATAAATAGTTGAAATGTTACTTTCAATTACGAATTAAATTAAAACAAGTAAAAAAGTCTAAGTTCGGGTGGAGCCGAACATTAAATACCCGGCGCAAGTATTAAATATAGTTTTCACCTTTCTCAAAACTGCCGTTACCCTGTTTAACCCCTATTTCTAACAATTCCGATAATATGTTCAGTTATACGTAATGAGAAAAACTTGTACTTGTTGATGTGAACGGTACCACGCCAAGGGTTCGAAATTTCAGACTTTGGTATCTATACTGAGTACTCAATCTGGCATCGAGCTCATGGTATCGATACTTTAAAAGTATCAGGGAAAAAGTATCGATACTACTCAGTATCGGACTCATTGAACTAAAATTATTTTATTCTTCAATCGGATATCTAGTTCTTTCCTGAAATTAAAACAATAGAAATTTAAAATATTTGATTTTTATTTCATTGCAGAACTGGCTTTCACGTTAGAAGTAATTTTAACGATAAATGTACATATATACATACATATGTATATATATATATATATATACTTTTACGAATTTCAAATTTTATTAAGAATTTTTGTAAACTTTTTGGCTATGCATTTTTGTAGCCTATTCAATTTTAGTATAACAATGTGCAAGTTTGAATTAAAAGACAACGGTAGTAGGCTACACGTAAAGTTGAATAGGTTACAAAACTGCATACTGCATAGGTTTCAAAAAATTCTGCATTTTCGTGAACTTTGCGTAAAGTTTTATGGCCTTATTCATAAAAAATAGAAAAGGTTTATAAACTGAAAAATGTAAGGAAATGTCATTTTATTAAGCTCTTTAAACCTGCTTTATTTTTTATGAATAAGGCCATTAAACTTTATCTTATTTGGTTTATGTTATGGAACAGACTAGGGATGGGTAAATTCGATATTCGAATTTTAGCTCCAAAATGGCGAATTTTTGGAATCGAACTTTGTGTTGCTAAAATTCGGATAAAATCGAATTTTTCTAGAAAAAATCGAATTTCATATTTATTTCCAAAAAAATTAACTCTTCAACTTTCTTGTTTCTGACTAAATTTGCCATCACTGTGTGTGGCACTCCATTTGTCTTAGGGATGCAAGTAAAAAAAATACATGGTTTTCGATCGGATGCATCGGGACAAAAATCTGTGCCAGGAAGAACTGTTATTCCGAACTCAAATTTAAGAAATTTTTTGCAAAAAACTGTTTTTTTTGTTTTTTTATTTTAAATGTTTAGAGGCTTTTGCGTTGATGGCATGAAGCTTTTGCCTGAGAAGGCCCCTAGTAAAATTTTCCGGAGAATAATTTTTTAGAATATATAAATCCTCGAACGACCTTCCAAATTTGCTTTTTGCGGGATTTCTTGAAGTAAGGGTCAAAATTACCCTTTTAGGCGGGAGGTAATGGGTTAAAATTTGTTTGTCTTAACCTTTAATTTCGCTCACCCTCCTAAATGTAATTAAAAAATAAAGTTTATTCAAGACCATTTCGATTGATACCCATATTAGGGAAATTTATTTAACTTATGAAATAATTTGATTTTGATTTTCTTACGTATGCCACAAAACTAAAACCATATTACACATCTACAGGGCAAGCCCTTTCATTTAACACCTACCTCCTTTTTGAAAATCGAACGAAAGATACAGATTTTATGACTTGGTGTTAAATATTTAACGCAAACATCTCCGAACTCGATTAAGAAGTTTCAATCATGATAAAAAAAATAGGAAGGTAGAACCGCTGAGAGGTATTTTTCAAATTCTTGACGTTTGCAAGCAATTTAATTTTAAAATTTTACACACACATTCTCATTTTCAATCTCAAACAACAACAACTTTGAACAATTCCTTTTTTTACTCTCAATTTTATACGATTTTAAAATGTTGGCAAACTTCAAAAAAAAAAATCATGGCCGACGCATTGAGAGAACGGTTTTACCCATGATAAAAACATAACAAGGTAAAACCATTGAGAGGCAGTCTGACGTTTGCCAACAATATAATTTTAAAATCAAAACTCAAACTCACACACACATTCTCATTTTCAATCTCAAACAACAACAATCGTGAACAATTTAATTTTATTATTTTCAATTTTATATGATTTTAAAATGTTGGCAAACGTCAGAACAAAATCATGGCCGACGAATTGAGAGAATGAATTTACCTTGTAATGTTTTTATCATGGTTTTACCTTACTATGCTTTTATCTTAATTAAAAATTTTTTGCTTCAAAAGATATTTATTCTTTGGACACAGATGACTTAAATATGATACAAACCAAGTATACGCGCATTTTTTTTGGATTCTTGGACAAAGCCTGGTTGAAAGAAAAAAGTTGGCGACTTTTTTAAGACTTCATTGAAAGTGTAATGAATGCAAAAAAGGCTGAAATTTTGCTATACTCCTTCTTAGCAGAAGTAATTTAGTATTTTCGACCACCGACCCCCTAACCAAATGTCTACAAGAAAAAAAAATATTAAAAATCAACGCGATTATGTAGCCGCTTTAAACTTGAAATTTAGTGGGCTATCAAACTGCATACTTAAAAAAATTCTAAAAAATCTGAATAAGAAGTTGAAAATATAGCTAAATTTGCAGATTTTTTATCATTTTTGCACAAGTGAAATGAAATGTGGATTTATATTTTTTTTGTTATAAAATGAGCTTGGCTTTTATGGAAAAATAATAAACATTAAATAAACAATCGAAAAACAGCCAAAATCGATCAAAATGTTGATGACTTAATCAGCTGATCACAAGTGTATGTATAAAATCATTTTTTATTAACGATCTCAAACCAGTTTACAATGCATTCTAAATGTGCTCTGTCGAAATGAGATTTTAATATACCTTACGTACATATGTACCTTTGTATACAATGAAAGTTTAATAAGAACAGTTATTGTACATTCATTTCAAAAATACGTTTTTGGGTAGGAAATGACGTTTTTTTTCGGACCAAGAGGGACGTTTTCTCATGCTGAAGACCTGGCAACACTGCTCCTATGCACGCTCATCCATGCTTAAAGGTCTGATTATGCATACTTCGCATAACCTCGCACAACCATTTGTACCAGTGCAATAAAAATGCAACTTAAGAAAATGTGAAGCAAAATCTAAACTCAACAGATTTCTAAGTTTTTGAGTGTTCTGCTAATTTCTGGGTAATGGAATACAAACAAAATACGTGCGAAGTAGGGATGGCAAAGTCGACTTCGACTTTCGACCAAAATCTACTTTTTACTCCTAAAAGTCGAATTTTAGTGATCGACTTTCAGTTTATGGAAGTCGACTGAAGTCGACTTTTCACTTTCGACTCTCGACTTTTTTTTAAATTTATTTGCCAATAAAAACTGATCTTCTAACAAGCGCGCGGAGTGCTGTTTGGTCGTATTTAAAAAAAAATTGTCAATAAAACTGAAGTGAAATGTGAAAAGTGTGGTAGCGAAATGAATTTTAATGATAGTACAACAGTACAAATCCTCAAATTTGGTAATCGTTTGTCTCCACAACCTTCAATTAATAATGAGGTAAGATAAACATATTATATTATTATTATATTTATTTTAACAATTTCATGCAAGAAAGTTTTTCTGAGTTTTTGAGTTTATGTAAGTTTTTACAGACAGTCTTTGGTTCGAATTTGACCAATCCGTAAGGTACAAAATTTTAAACACCGCTAAAAACGTTGCTGGTAGGATTCCAGTTAATATGCGACATAGTCGTGTGGATAGTCCCAATCCACTAGATGTCTGGGCTACTCCCATATTTATCCATGCTTATAAAGTGGCTCTTATATTTATATTTCTACCAATACCCGCCAATTCTGCTCCATCGGAAAGGCCACATTTTTCAAAAAGTTGTCCGTAATTACCAAATATCGATTCAAAAAATTTTTAGAGTTTTTTTTGTGAGAATTTAAATTTTTTTTCAAAAATAAGCATTTTCATGCTGTATAACTGGAACGATTTTCAAAATTTTTAAAAATCCTTTAGTGTCTGTTTTTTTTCTTTACCTAGCATTGAATTTCACTAAATTACAGATTATTCTTAGGGACACGAATTTCGATACGATACGATACCATATCGATACTTTTGGCATTCGATACCGATATTTTCTACTCGATAGTTTTAAAACGATCTTTTTTGGAATCGAGTACCAGAACCCTAGTATCGTATCGAATGACATAAACTCACATTACAAGGATAATGTTATTAACAATTCTTCCCGATATAAATTGGACTTTAAAGAGTAGAAATTTGTAATATAGTTAGGATTGCATGTGGTGCAATTTGAACCCGCGGCCTCGGTGTTTTAAGTCAACACCTCAATCTCAACGTGTTGTTACACAATATGTTAGTGTTTGACCGAGATTCTCCTCCGATTTGTCGCGCGCGCCTTAATGTTGTGGCACAAAAGGGGTCCCTACAGTTTTAGGTCGACTCTGAACGGCGATTATGTCTTACTGGGAAGCTGTTTTCATTTTCAAGCTTTGCGCACTTCTAACCATTACACCACCACAGCGGCCTATATACGAGACCTATAT